GTGCAGCAAAAGGATATGGACTTAGTGGTAAATCATCTCTCTAATAAGCACCACATCAGATCTGTGCTTGAAATTGTGAGTTTCCCCAGTATTAAAACAAACAATAAACAAGCAAAGAAAACTTTCAGAAAATATTTGGGGCTCTTAATTAGAGAAAATATTTCTGTGAAAATTTTATCACAGTCAAAAAAATTTTAAATATTTTAATGAAACCCCAAATGCAAATAAGTCACCCATCCTATACTTATAATCCCCTTTCTATTCCACCCAAAACCAGCTGTATATTTTATGCTTCAGCCTAAGATTATAAGTGAAACAACTCCTAAAAATTTATAGATAAGTTTAAGGTCACTCATGTAAGTGTGTGTCTCTTATCAGAAATAGAGAATGTCACAATCTCAAAAGTGATGAGCATGTGACATAGTTATCTAACAGTTATTTTCAAAAGATTGTTATACATAGGGCTTTCTTTTATACAATGTAACCATAAATAACATGACCAGTTAAAGATAATTTTTAATCACTAAAATTCCAGCAGCATTCTTTATCTTTCAAAGAGTGAAAATAATCATAGTTGGTCTCAATGTTAATATCTAGACATAAGTAGATACATTTTAGGTTTTTATCATATGTTAAAACATCTTAGGGAAACAGTTTCATTTTATATAATTAAAACAAACTAATGACAAAATAATGAAATAAAGCACTGAGTAAGGAATAAAGTTTGTATGGATAAAATTTGAGTATTTCAGACAATAAAATAGTTTTCAAATAAACCTTGAACTCTTGTTGTAATTCATATTAATATTAAAGTACTTCCTTAGGGTTTTTTTTATGTGTATGTGGCTTTTAGGTCTGAACTACAGCCTTGCACTTGCTAGCAGTTGTACCATTTGAGCTACCATCTGCCTTTTTTTTTAACTTTAGTTATTTCTTTGCATAGAGTTTTACATCTCCCCCCTCCATCGTCCCCTCCCCTGGCCAGGGCCTGATTCAAACCATTCTACTACATAAATTAGATATCCAGACACATACCACAAAGCCAACTTGTTGGTCAAGATGGAGTCTTGGCAACTTTTTACAGAGGCTAGCTTTGAACCATGATTATAGGTACATGCCAGCACATCTAGTTCTGAAGCTAGTTTTAAGTGACAGAGAATTTAAATGAGAGCAAGGGCATACCATGGGCAATTCTTAAACTGAATGATTGCTTTTTTTCTTCAGATTTCTACAATTAGAAAATGGAATAATTCTAATTTAATTCATTCTTGCTTCCCATACCTTTTACATAGTAGGCAGGCTAATGGGTTTCCCAGACACTTGGAACTGGCCCATTGACAGAGTGCAGATCCAAAGCTGGTAGCCTCATCCCACTTCCAGAGTGGTATTTCAAATGTGCATTTTAGCTATTCCCTAAACATTCAGAACTGACCTAAACTCTCTTTTCTTTAAAATGGAAAGGTATCTATAATGAAGTATTACTTCTGTGAAAAAACTAAATCTCAAATATTGACAATGCTAGTTTTAATACTTGCCAAAGACATTCGATTTGCTTACATTTGTAGAAACTCCTGGGTTATGTGATATTAATGTAACAGCTTCCAGATAGCTCTACAAAATTTGTTCTGATGAACACACACACACACACACACACAGACACACACACAGAGGAGCAGAAATTCTACCATAGGTATGGCATGCAATGTAAGAATGCACGGCTATCATTTCATTACAACTTTTTCTAAAACCCAAAAAACAACCAAAATCACCTTGTAGTCTTCTTTTTCAGATTTCCTTATACAAGTGATCTAATGATCAATGTGTTTAACCTCAATCACTTCACAAGAGAAAAAAAGTTCCATTTTAAAGAAAAAAAAGTTATTCCTTCAGGTAAAGGCCAAGGTTGACACTGGCAAGATGCTAAAAATCTGTTTATATGCCTGCACTCCATGCACTTCCTCTTCCTTCACCTCCCTATGTTTCACCACTATCCAACGACCCCAGCAAACCTCCACTCTTTTGCCCCAGTCACTGATGCAAGTACTTAATCATAGCAACCAAGTTATTGAGCACTTAGTAATCATACACAAGTAGCCAGGATAAATAAGAGAAGAGAGACAAAATATTTTAAAAGGACATGTCAACTGCTAAAAATGTATACTAAGGGTCCAGGCCTAGCTGTCAGATTTTGTTTTATTCTCAAATCCAGAGGTTTAGGAATACAAGTGGTTAGAGACTAAACATTTCCCCAGATATAAAGTGCTGTTCTTATTCCATTCTGTAAAGTCAGGAGAGTAAATGGAGTTGCAGGCTGGTGTATATGAAAAGTTGCTCATATCCACAAGAATAGTGGGCTAGAGCAGGAATGAAATCTTGGTCTGATTCCAGAGTCTGGTAAATAAACTCAAGCCAGGATCACAGAAACTACAGGGTCCTAAATAAACCCAGTTGTGTTGTTACTTCAACCCAGCTTCAAAAGGCTCTCAATAGTAAAATGAGAGGCAGATTAGGCCTCTTTCACTATATGGAAGTTGTGAGACTCTCTGTGGCCTATTAAAAATGGAACCAAGCCTAGCGCTGGTGGCTCACGCCTGTAATTCTAGCTTCTCAGCAGGCTGAGATCTGAGGATCACGTTTCAAAGCCAGTCCAGGTAGGAAAGTCTGTGAGACTCTTATCTCCAATAAACCACTAGAAAACCAGAAGTAACAATGTGGCTCAAGTGGTAGAGTACTTGCCTTGAGCTGAGGAGTGCAGGGACAATGCCCAAGCCCAGAGTTGAAGCCCTATGACCGACCAAAAAAAAAAAAAAAGTGGAACCATTTTTCACTCATAAAGACAATAAAAGAAGAGACAGGCTCTGTTTTTATAGCAGTTAATACATTAACTATACATAAATCCTTTTTTATAAGCTTTTATAAGCTTTTTATAAGTCAAACAACTAGGCTAATTTTTGTAAAACAACATTTCTAGTTGTAACATGAAATTAGCTTTCAGGATATAAACATTATAATTCTAACAAACTATATGAGATTTGACCCCAACAAATCTTTTTTTTTTTTTTTTTTTGATCGGTCATGGGGTTTGATATCTGGGCCTGGGTGCTGACCCTCAGCTCTTTTGCTCAAGGCTAGTGCTCTACCACTTGAGCCACAGCACCACTTCCGGTTTTCTGAGTGGTGTATTAGAGATAAGAGTCTTACAGGCTTTACTGTCCAGGCTGGCTTTGAAACAAGATCCTTAGATCTCAGCCTCCTGAGTAGCTAGGATTACAGGCATGAGCCACCAGTGCCTGGCTTGACCCTAAGAAATCTTAAATTAAACAAAGTTAAAATTCAGTATTTGGTGAGAGATAAACTTTGAACTTATTAAACATTTTCTGGTAACCCATCCATACTCATAATCAAAACATGAAAATTCACAGGGAAACACTTATGAAGAAACTTTTATAATCATAACTAAATTCATCATTAATATTTTATACTGATAATAACATTAAAAAAACCTTCAGACCTCTAAGACATTGTCACTCCAGTTTTTGAAACTATATCATTCCATAAAAAGATTAACAGCCAAGGCCTTCAGGCTGAAAAAATTCTGTTTTGTATTAACATAGAAACACAGTAAAACATAAAATAATTCTGAAAGAGGTTAAGAAATGTTATTATTTTTTACATGTGTCTGAAGTTGATTCAGAAAATATAGTAACATGGTGCTGAAATACAACCAGTTTGCTCACATTGGAGCTTGCTCCAACACTGGTCACAAGACAAGTTTGATTATGTATGTTGGAACATTGTAGATGACAGAAAGGCTGTTTTGAGAATAGCCTCTTCATTTTCAGAAATATTATCAGATTTCTTTTTGACATGCTTGCTATTACATATACATTGTTTCATGACCTTGAAGAAAACCTTAGAAAAGCTGATGAGAGTTTCAACACCAAAATGACTCACTAAGAAAGAGTCACAGGAAACCGCTAACACTTTTCCTTTGCTTGAATTGCTTCACTTTAAGGTTCATTCTTTCTATCCTGGCTATCCTTCCATAACACTGATATGATTTTATAATATTGTTTATATTGATTACACTGTTATACAGAGTTTTTATTACAACCATGCCCAAACACACACACACACACACACACACACACACACACACACAGAGTACATGGCACATTTAAGACTTCTTCATTGTCCTTGTATATTTTATGAGATGAACTCCCTAACTCCAAAAACATTATATTATTTTCAAGGAATAAGTATGTCCTCTAAAATAATCATTTAGGACTAACAGATATGTAGAGTCATGGCCTCATTCTGTAAGGGGAAATGATAATAAAATGACCTCAGAGTCAAAACCATCATGGAAGCAAATATCAAAATGATTACAGTAAGGCTTTGCCAAGGGTCTAAGCAAGATTTCTAAAGTCAATGATTTTGCTGCATATAAACTACAGCAGAGATTATAGGCAAGTACAATTTTCTTTGTGTTTTATGGAGAAAAGCTTTCTTTGTAAGAGTGAACTGGTTTCAGGATTTTAAGTAGGTGAGAATTTCACTTTATCTGAATAACTTAAGTGTACTTGGCCTACGCGGTAACAATTCATGGCATATTTAATTATGCCACTGTTTTTGATCATTGTTAGAACTAAGAACGTTAAGAAAAACAGTGTTGACTCTAACACTAGCAAGTTATTAATGGGAAAAAATTAGCAGGTAAATGAAGAAAGATTAAGTAAATCTCTAGCAAATTGTCTAGTGTCTAAACATTAAAATTAAATCATTCCTAGAACATCCTTACTGATTTCATTAAAGTTTTATTGAGCTTCTCATTATATATAACTTGGACATAATTAAAGACCTTCAGAAAAGTGGCATACTGGGCAGTTAAAAAAATAAAAAACAACAGAAACACTGAGCAGTATTTCACACTCAACACAACACCTATTAGAACACTTTAAAGAGCAACTCATTCAGGTTCTCTTTTGCATAGGTCTTACCTTGGCTCCTTCTGAAGGCAAATCATGGCGTCTGTGTTTCCGCATAAGCACTGGGTCAGAGCCCATTCTATTGTGCCTTCCATTTGTGTTTGAGCTTGCTGTGATTCCAGGCTTAGGTGAGCCATCCCCCAGGATGCGACAGCTTACCAATGGATTAGTCCCAAACACATCCCTAGGGCACCAGGCTTCAAGAGGCATTGGCTGGTCCCTGGAAGGCACACTTTCCACATGATGGAAGTGTCTGCTCAGTCTGTTGTCAGGTGGAATTGGGGGAGGTCGCTCAGGTGGAGGGGGAGGAGGATCTCTTAAAGGAGGAGGAGGGGCTGGGAGGGGCTTGTCTTGCTTTCTCACCATGCAGGGAGAAGACTAAAGAGACACCAAAGAAAAGAAAGAAAAACAGAAAAAAAAGACATAACTGAAAGTTATACCATATACTGAAAGGACTCCTAGACTTCTATATTTATTTTCTAAGTCAAAGTGGCATATTATTAGATTTCTATGTAATTCTTTTAATACATTTATTTTCATCACACATGAAATATTTAGTGAAAAGCTTACATGAATATATTTCATTATGATTTTAAGTAGTTGTACATAGGAGTTGCCATTTAACAAAGCAACGTATGAACACAACACATCTTGATCAATATCAACCCTTTCATTAAGATGTTTGTAAACATGAGTTTACAAAAACAAATATACTGTAGAAACTATACAGAAAGAAATAGAAGACCAAAGTTACAAAACATTGATGACATTACAATATCTATGGAATCCATTCACATATTTCTATGTTTAAGAAAAAGAAGAATTCCATTAAGATTAGCATTGTTTTACATTTTTTCCACAAAAAGTATATTGCTAATATTTCTGGAAGACAAAAAACGTTACTTTTTGTAAATTGCCATATTTATCACTTAAAAATACTGAGACTAATACGAGGCAAACTTGCTCTGGTGCTTTATTAGTTACTGCTGAACAGTAAAAATCATCAACTAATGGTGACAAATTATTTACTGAGTAACTTGAATTTTGTGGATTTTTAAAAAGACAATTATTTCAGTTTTTATGAGGAAATATGTAGGAATACACTCCTGAATTGAATATGAACCCTTCATAGCTTTTGATTTTTATTTACATGATTAATCTGAGGAAGTATGTTCTTAATACTAAAAAGTATCAGAGAAATAAAAGAATTGCTGCATATTTACACTATTCTAAGTCATATCCTAGTAAGTTTTTCATATGAGCTTAAATCAAGTTAAGGGAAAAGCTAGCACTAATAAAATATCTTGCTAAAAAATAAATAAAATATCTTGCTGATTTTAGATTGTGAAACCTATAATCCAATGGAATTAATTTTTAAAATATGATGTTATGTAAAGTATAATAGGAACTAATAAATTTGGAAAAAAGAATCCACATAAAACTAAAACAAACTGTTGGCTTGAATTTATGATTAGTTATGTCTTTAATATTAAACAGTAATGTAATTACTTTGCAAATATTGTAATTCATTATAATTAATTCCTACAGGTATCAAAAGTACACATAATTCTCTCTCTCAGTCACCTTGAAACATGGGTGATAATTTATCATACCTTAAGCCCTTATGCAAAAATACCCCCTTCGCATTTTTCTTGTCATGATATTATGAAACTGAGTATAAAATATCATTTGATAACAGCATGCAAATTCTATTAATGCATATAATGACCTTTTAAATCTACTTTATAGAATAACTATACTTATGCTGCCATTTATTTGAGCAAATCAGAAGCTACAGATATGCTCTCTCTGAATAGTTATACAATAATTATAGTAATAAAAGAAGAAGTAGGGGTAGCCAGGAGCCGGTGGCCTGTAATCCTAGCTATACAGGAGGCTGAGATCTGAGTATCATGGTTCAAAGCTAGCCCAGGCAGGAAAGTCCCTGAGACTCTTATCTCCAATAAACCACTAGAAAACTGGAAGTGGTGCTATGGCTCAAGTGGTAGAGCACTTGCCATGAGGTGAAGAGGGCAGAGACAGCGCCCAAGCCCAGAGTTCAAGCCCCACGACCAACAACAATAACAACAAAAAAGGAGTAGGATAGTGTGTTTAACATCAACAAAATAAGAAGCTCATTAAAGTTGTTCATAAAACCACAAGAAATAGGGATTCTAGAAGGATATGATCATTGTTGTGTAATAGGACAGACTTACCTTTGGTGAACCAGTTGGGCTGCCACAGGGAGATCGGACGATGCCTTTCTGAATTAGATCCAGACGAGGAGGCACTGGAGGCAGGCTGAGATGTGGAACCTGCAGAGGATCTGTCTGGGGTTTTCTTCTCTGAGCAAGAGGGGAAGATCCTGGTGAGGTGACTGGTGAGTTCTGCCTGTCAGCGCACTACAACAGAAAGCCACAAAGATGCCATTGTGTGCTAGATGCTCATGGCTTCAGTTCAGGCCTCTCATTTCTTATGGAGTTGTTTGGTTTGCATAAGGACTGTGTTACTGTATAGCTTTTAGATGTAAACTCTGAATAACAGATGCAAGAGTGCATATTGTCTCTCAAGGGTAATATTACAAAATGAACAGACAGATAGGTTTCCACTACACGTAGCAGAAAGAGAACAGGAAAAGGAACAAGAGTCAGGGCAAACAACCCAAAATGACATTTCTAAAGAAACTGGGTAAACTACCTGGGTAAGGTAGAGCATGTCTGTAATCCTAGCTACTAGTGTGGCTAAGACTGGGAAGACTGAGATTTGAGGCCAGCCTGGGGAAAATGTCTGACAGAACCTCATGTGAGCCAACAATAGCTGGGGATTGTGGCATAGAATATCATCTCAACTTCACAGGAAGTATATAAACAGGAGGATCATTTTCCAGGCTAGCTCTCAGAATAAATACAAAACTCTATCTCAAAAAAACACCATAAAGGTCTGGTGGTATATCGCAAATGGCAGAGCACCTGCCCAGCAAGCACAAGGCCCTAAACTGAAATCTCAGTACTGCCAAAACAAAAAAGAAGAAAAAGAAGAGGAAGAAGAGAAAGAGGAGGAGGAGGAGGAGGAGGGGGGGGGAGGAGGAGGAGGGGGAGGAGAGGGGAGGAAGAGAAAGGGGAGGAGGAGGAGGAATAGGAGAGGGGGAGGAGGAGGAGGAATAGGAGAGGGAGAGGAGGGAGAGGAGGAGGAGGAAAAGAAGAGGAAAGGAATGAAGGAGAAAGAGAAAAAGAAAAGGGAAGAGGCATCTATGGCATCCTATGAGGAGGCCAGAAGTTACCTAAAGTAGTAATACATATTGCTCCTGGTTATCTAGATTATAAAATATTCTGACACTTCAAGAATTCTAAAACTTAGAAACATTTTCTACTACATATGTACCTAGTAAAGTCAATTTTTCTACCTAATTAAATCAATTAAATTAAATTAATTAAATAGAATAAATGAATATTTAGAATAAGTTTTAAGTCAAAATATTTTGTGTATACATTCACATTTTTAAAAATCCCAATTAAATATTTATTCTTTAAACAATATAGAAAAGTAAACTTCTGTTAAAATCAATGACTTTCTATGCTGCTATAAATATTCCTTTATTGATAAAACATAAAAAAGCAAGTAACAAGTATTTTTTTTAACTGTAGGTTTCGAGCATACTAATTCGGTGGAAGTTTTGAGTTTTATGTATGTGTTTAATGTGCATAACCTGATTGCTATTTGGTATAAAAACTATGGTAGTTACTCAAATAGCCTGACTAGAATAAGCAGGATACTGTTTGAAATACCAGACAGTTTCCTTTCCAGGGCTAAATTACTTACCTCTTTGAAGATTCAGACTTGACTTTTATAACCTCCTACATTCATTTATAATGTTTGATATTCATCTGTTTCTGAATTCAGTAATCATTTATAGTTCTAAGTGTGCCTTTAAGCCACTTTTCCTTCTAATATTATTCAGTGTTACAAAAAGCAGTTGATGTCACTACTGGACAAGTAGCAGCACTGAATTCTGACAGCATCTGATCTGGAAGGTGATAACAGATTCACACTCACATCCACACTAAGAAATACTATGTAAAACACTGTCCTAATTAACTCAAATTCATAATTTATTCAGGCTTCCTTATTTTGTATTTAATATCCTTTTTCTAAATCAGGTACACTTTTAGAGTACTATTAGTTGTAGTATTCATAACTCCCTGGCTTACTTCTTAATTTTTTTAACTTTAATTTTGATGATTTTGCTTTTGTGATTTATTGTGACAATTGACTTCAATGGCCTTGACAACTTCATGTTCTATTGATCAGACATGTTACAGAATGCTCCTTTATTGGGATTTGACTACTGTTTTCTTATGATTAAGTTTCTGGGGAAAATACCATAGAAATAGCCATTTTGAACACACCATAGCTGGGGTTCATATTGCTGATAGTGACTTTGATTAACTGCCTGAGGTATTAAGTGTTTCTCACGTTTCTTTGCTGTTGATTTCTTCTTCTTTGTTGTATTCTTTGCTGTAGTGTATTCTTTGCCAGTAAGTCACTGCATAGCCCACACTTAGTTGTTTTTTTTTTTAAATAAATTTGAATGACTACCAGGTATATAACCAAAGGAAATGAATCAGTATATGGAAAAGACACCCACACTCCCTTCTGTATTATACTACTATTCAAAATAGCCAGATATGGAACAAAGCCATATATTCAGCAATACAGGAGAAGATCAAGAAAATGTAAAATGTACATAATGAAATCTTATTAGTCATAACAAGGCATGGAATACTATCACTCTGGAACAGGGACAGAAAATTAGGCAAGTGAAATAAATGAAGAAACACATGGCTTGTTCTAGAATAGTGGTCATGAGAACGTAAGTGAATATGGCAAGGGGTTAGAGACAGCGTAAATGTGTACCAAACTGCAGATGGTAGGAAGAATCAAAACTAACGTTCCATAATGTGTAACCAGTTAATTCAAAATAACAAAAGAGTTTAAAGATTCCTCCAAAACAGAGATCACAAATGTGCAAAGTCATGGAGATGCTAATTAACTTGATTTGATAATTCTACATTGGATACATGTAGTTAAATATAATTACACATAATTTTATGCAACAATTTCTAAAACTGTTTTTCTTAATTTTGTGATATTTCATCTATTTCTTAGCATGGTATGATTTTTAATATTTCATCAATGGTTACTAAGCTGGAAAAGTAGAATCTCTTCCATTGTAAACTGGTTTTTGTTCAGCTGGTGAGTAGTGTAACACTCTTACCCTTTCCTTTATTTTTTTATTTTTGTTTTTGTCAGCCATGGGGCTTGAACTCTGGGCCTGGGTGTTCCCTGAGCTCTTCAGCTCAAGGTGAACACTCTACCACTTGAGCCACAGTGCTACTTCCCCTTTACTTTATTTTTCAGTTAGTATCTTGTGCTACTTTTGTCTAGAACAGAGTGGACATGCATCCTCCTGCTGGGATGACAAGTGCATGCCACCACACCTGGCTTTGACAGAATTCTTCTCGTGTCGAATAAGATACTAATGACTAGCATAATACATATAGGAATAATTTTAGCACAAAATCCTCAGAAAAAAAGGCCCAAGAAGTAGTTAAAAACCCATCACCACACACTTAGCAATTACTGATAATAAGGAAGGATACATTCTCTTTTAGTCACTCTTCATTTTATCCACACCTTTAAAAAATGCCTTTATATATGCCTTAATAAGATCCATTATTATGGAAATGGCAAAATATTTGGTAAGAAAGTAGCCAGGCTATTATAAAAACTGGACAGGAGAGAAATCTCTCAAATTACTAGACAGAGGAGAGTTCTGACAATCCCAGAGATAATCAAAGTCAGCTTTATAATAGTGAGATTTTTACTTAATGAATTTTTATTACTGAGTAAGGTAGACACATGTATTATAATTAGGAGGATGAAAATACCTAGTCAATGTTTCCCCAAACTTCATGGACATGAAATGATTGATAGTCTTTTATCAAATAAAGCAAAATAGCCTAAGTATACTTTTCCTTGCTGCTGTTTGTTTTCATTTGTTACTAATTTGTAAACTCCAAAAAAATCAAAAGCATTTAAAATATCACATACAGACTGTTATGAGAAGGCATATACCATAGTAATACTTACACAGCAACCAAACATCCAAATATACTTATAGTTCTATAAAAGGGAAATTCTAATGTTATCTATTTTGGAATATCTCTACCATTAGTTTCTTTCAGTTAATAAACAAAATGTGATATGACACATGTAGTATACATGAAATAAAATTACTTCCTGCTTATTCACACAATGTTCCCAAACACCTTAATCTATAAATATTTACAAAGAAATTCTGAGCAAGATTGAAATCGTCTCTCACAGGGAAGAGTTCTATTGCAAAGTTTTTCTTATTAAAGAATATAGGCACTTTGGTTCTTTCTGAGAACAGAGACCATTTTTGATTTGATGTGTTTTAAAATGAACTAATATCTTTGTTTCCTTAAGTTACTTCTGAAAATTTCTCAAATATTACAAATTAAAAGTAATAAAGAAAAATGAATGGTTACAAAGTTGGAATGGACAACTACTAAATGATATGAGAGGTAATTTAATCTTTGATGAACAGCATTGTCCATGGGGTCTGCTCTAGAGGAATATAGTGTCACACATGGTAACAACCCCAAGGGCAGTTCTCTATTAAAGTAATAAATATTGCTTATCACATGGGGGTATTCTGTTGCTCCTTGAATACTTATAAAGGGTGAAGCTCGATTTCCGACCTGTGACTAGACACTATAACCTTGAAATCTGTTTGAAGTTTCATATTTAATTTTAAACATTTAGAAGACTTTTTTCATCCTGATCCAAATACATATGTGATTCTAATTTCAATTTGTTCCCCTTCATTCATGCAACTCATCCCTAAATCTTGTACAAAAATCTAAGCTTCCAGAAATACATTGTATTGACTGGGATAGCTTCTTATGCCCTTTGGTTCACTCAGCTGCATAAGTAATTTTGAAAAGTCAGGGAAGGATGACATATAATTCAGAAGTATTTCCATAAAAATGGCAGAGAAACAAGAACTTTGTGGGAATTAAAGGAATAAATTTTAGTCACTGAAAAAGTGCCTTCATGTGAAACCCTTTATTGCTCCCCAAATACCAGGTAAAGCTGGTTTGAACAAAAAGCAATTACTATGTGGCAACTTTAGTTCTTAAGGTTCTTCTCTCTAACTTTAGAGAATTCTTAATCATGTACACTTATGTATAGCACAGAAAACAAGTACAGTGTAAATTACAACATGGGCGTGGGCTTAGCAGGAAGTTACTTTGATGCAATCATTCAATGAAACCATAACTATGCAAACAAGATATTTTTTTAAAAAACAACCAATTACTTTCTAAACAAATACAGTTTTGTTGTCTAATCCTTTTAAAATAGAATAAAAATAGCAATATCTAAAAGAAATACCTTTTTGTAGCTCTCTCAAAAACAATGATTATTTTTATAAAAATATCTTGGACATTTTAATTTGTAATATATGAAAATAATGTAATAGCAACAAATACTTAGCTTTTTTATTTTTTTTATTTTTTTTGCCAGTCCTGGGCTTGAACTCAGGGCCTGGGCACTTTCCCTGAGCTTCTTTTGCTCAAGCCTAGCACTCTACCCCTTGAGCCACAATGCCATTTCCAGCTTTTTCTGTTTATGTGGTACTGAGGAATTGAACCCAGGGCTTCATGCTGAGCCACATTCCCAGCCCTGGTAGCTTTTACTACATATCAAAATTATTATGATGACTTTGCATGAATTAAGTCCTATATTTAACCTTCGTGCCAATGGGTACATACTGCATGGTTCCAAACCTAGATAGGATCTGAGGTAGAATGACTCAGTATTATTTCAGAACAGTAAAGTTAAAAACAGTGCCACTGCTGATCATTCAGCAAATCTTTTCTCAGGAGCCTACACAGAATTATGTGACTCTCTGAGAATGGAGAAGGCTCAGACCCTCTCCCTCAAGAAGCTGACTGTCTGCTAGAAAAGGTAGATTCCAAACTAAGTACAAGAGTACAAGTGCTGTACTATGCTGTATATTCAAGCCCTAACATGGACTCCGCTTGTACAGTTAGAACCTAAATAAAATACATAAAAGGCAGTACCTTCATAAAAAAAACTACAAAACACTGTCGTTTGTATGTATAAATCCTTTCCTAGGTCTTTTTTATATTAGGAAAAGCAATAATTAGCTGATCCGGTTATTAATGAACAATACATTTCATTTTACAAAGGAAACACTAAGATAATCTAAAAATAGAAAGATAGAAAAGAATAATTTCCTCCAACTCTAGTCATACTATTTTCAGTCTAATATACTGTCATTTATTAAGATTTATAAAAGTTGTTTTAGAAAAATATAATATTTAAGACAATAGGAATTATTTTACATCTATTCATAGTTCAACCTATCAATGTTTTATATATTAATTCTTATTGATTTTATATGTAATTTATGTATTTGCTGATTAATATGCCCTGAAAACATAACTGTCAACGAACTATTAAGAATCCCCATGTAGTTTGGCAAAAGGATGCAAATCTCTATTTGGCACTAGATAATTTTCCTTAGCTCCGGTCTGATTGAACTAAGGGAAGGCTGTGGTATTCTCAGCAACCACACTTGAATTTCCTTTGACAGCTCACATCAGATCCACTTATCCTGGAAATCTGAATTCACATAATGGTATAGATTCAGGCCAAATCTAAAATATGTGGTTAATGCCATTAATTTCCTTCCATCTAAGAAGGCACCACAGCTCAGGGTTTCAAAGACTTGTATTTGCTTCTGTGAAGAGTAACATTAATATACTTAATTAATAAAAGGAATAATAAAAAATACATTCTATATGTTCAGTATGCACAGGATATCACCATGGTAACAAGAAAACACAATCAGACCTCTACAGTGTGATAGATGGATAATTAATTTACTGAATGCAATAAGCTTAAGATAGGCAGAAATATTTTCACAATTTAGTCATCAGTGAGCTCATAAAAGATAAGAAAAGTACTATTTTGAAAAAGCAGATTAAAAAATGAGTTATTCTCCTAGACAATGACTGACAGTCACTCTTGGAGCTGAGAAAATGAGATGCTTTTAAAGTAAATGAGTGGTCTAAGTTGAATGAATAAGGCAATAAAATGAATATAAAAAACAGAGGAAATTCATATAGAAGAGCTACTGTGTTGAAATTACCACAGGATATTTATTCATTTATCCTATAAAACAGTACTAGATAAAAACCTCAGTTTGATGTACACACACACACACACACACACACACACACACACACACACACTTTCAGATTGGAACAGAAAGAAAAAGATGCCTACGTTCTGATCACTACCCTCAAGGAATAGGTACACAAATAAGCATACTTTGACTCAGTGAGTAAATATCCCCTGTATTTAAGTACCAAAGAGCATGATGTTAAATCAGATATTCATGCCTTAACAATGAATAGGTAATAGAGAAAACAGTCCTCTAAATAGTACCTATGAACATAATGAATAGGAACATAATATCACAGTATTACATTCCCAATTATTCAAATAATTTATGTATACATCAATACAAAATTAAGGTTCTATTAAAAATTAAATGTCAGCTATTAAAAGAATACTACAAAAGTCAAAATCTAAGCAGCCAGAGGCAAATAAATGGACATAATGACTATAAAAAAAAATCACTCCTCCACTTACAAATTCCCTCAAGTTCTTTAAATTTCTGCAGTTTCTAACTGCCATAAGGAGGGTGTAACACTTTCATAAAAGCTTTATTAAGTGACACAAGCCACTGAAGTGTGACTGCTGGGTCAAAAAAGCCTGAGCAGATCCTTTTCTCTTGGTCAGGTAAACAACGAAGAAGATTAATATGAAAATGTCTCAGTCTCCTGAGAGGAAGTTTACCAGCTGCCAGGGAGAAGAAAGCAAGCAAATACTAAGGCCAAGATGAAGGATCAAGCCCGCTCACCTCAGTCACTTGGATACTGGGATTCTTAGTGCCTCCTTTCTACTCTAAGAGCCACTAATACTAAGAGAGGCCCAAGCTTTCCCTAACTCAATGCAGAGGCCAAGACCACAACTTTCCTCAAACTCACAGTCTATTTCTTTTTAAATTTTCTCCAAGCAGTAAAGTATACAACGTTCTTGAAAGAACTGCTCGTAAAACTTTAGCTTCTGTCTCTATATCAAATAGTGAAAGAATATTTATTTAGTAAAGAAAATTGAAATGATATTTTCCTAGATAGAAAGCATTTTTCCCTAGGTCCTTGAACTACTGGGCTGTTGTGATTTTGAAACACTTTACTCCCTATTACCCACACATTCAAAAAAAAAAAAAGAAAAGAAAAAAAATTCTTTAAATATGCACTGTCTTACACTAGATTACAACCTCTTCTTAAAGGGCTAAATAGGAAATTATGCAAGTACTTATAGAATCAGTTAAATCTACACTGTTTAGGTGCTCCATTTTTGTTGGTTTATATAAAAAAAGGTCCAGGGTGCTTATATGTTTATTAAATGTAGAGCTTATATATATATATATATATATATATATATATATATATATATATATATAATTGCTATTTCACAGCAAAAAAAAGGGCCATGAATCAGTAAAAATCTACATTGGTAGCATACTGCCTTACTCTCCCAATGACTGGGGGGAGGTATTATGTTTTGCATCTTTTAGATAAGGAAATGGGCTCAGAGTAAACATGTGACTGGTATATATTACTGGGTTGTGAAGCAGGAATTGACAAGATGTCAGATGACAAAGTAGTATCTCTACTACTTCAAATATGCTCTACCACACACATGAAGAGGTGAAATGATTCCTAGTCACAGATGACACAGTGTAGTCTGGGACGTTTATCACACAACAGTAATTCTAATTAATACTGGGAATAAAACAAAAACATTAAGTGACCCAATATTGCCTTTGGTTATTAAATTCTTGATCTGATTCATTCATCCATATTTCTCTTGTTTTTTTTGTTTTTCTTTACAGAAGAAGAAACTGAGAAATAAAAAAGTTAGGAAATTGCCTGAGATTGCAGTATTGCTCTATACCAGAACTGGTACTTTACTCTAGGTCTTCTTATAGTCTTTGTGCTTGAGGGCATTTTAGATCACATCTGGCTAGAGAGGTCTAGGTACAGCCACATTTCCAGTTTGTAACTGGCATTCTGGTTCACTTCACAGTTTTCACAGTCCTGTGAACTTGGTTATGCAAATATCAAAGGGCAGTAATAGCTATTTTTGATCAACTAATAAGGTCCATTCTCTGAACTAGCTAGTTTGAAGAGAAAACTTCAAACTATGATAAGTTTACAAAGATAAGTCTCTTGTGATCTCTTAAAAACAAAGCTTTAATATATCCTAGTAAGAAAACAATTCCAACACACATTCTAGCCTTAATAAAAATACATCAGGCTCAGTTTTACCATTTTTAAATTTGATAAAAATCCCGGGTTAAATTTTTCTTTACAGATGAGTTGTCCGGTCTTAGAGGTTTGATTCCACTCTGCTCCTTATTATCATGCAGTATATAGACTGTTCTTCTGTCTATCATTTAATAAGCTTAAGAAAACTGCCATTTGCACTAGTCATACTCCTTTTGGTAACAATGCATTTTCATGTCCTCTCATCATCCTATCTAATGTCATGATGTCTAGTTTTACCTTTCGAACATTGGCGAGCCGATTCATCATCAATGACTCCTCTCTATCATCATCATCATCTAGGTCCAGCATTGGCATCCCAAAGGGGTCAATGATGCTGCAACACCTGGAGCCTTCATCTCGAGGATCAAAGGGGTCCACGATTATGGGCTCCGTTCCTTTTATTTCACAACGACAGAAAGGGCATCCCTGGCCATCAGACTCCTAAACAAATAGAAAATACAGATTGATCCTTGTTTATGCCTAATAGAGCAGTATCAATATCCAACATGTATACAAAGTTGTAAAACACTGGAGAGTGGATAGAAGTGGGGGAAGATAGAGCTTGATGACATAGGAGAGATACAATAGGAAGTTCAAAAACACAAATAAACTAAGAATTTCAAATTTACCAAGGAGTTTCTTATGAAAAATATTTTGATTTATCAAAGGAGCTTAACTCTTCATTTCCCTGAAAGTTCATTCAGAAACCTAGAGCTATTTACTACCGTTCTGTTTCTGCATGGTAGCCTGAAAATATAGTACAGTTAAAAAATTCAAATCCATAAAATCATTTCAAGGGTGAGATGGAATAAATTATATCAAATAAGGATCAAAAAGAGATGTTATCCTAAGAAAGAACCATCTCATGGTGAGTCATGTCTATAATCTCAACCAGTCATCAGGATAGGGAGACTGCGAGCATGGCAGTTTGAGGCCACCCAGGATAAAACATTACTGAAACTATCTCAATAAATGAGGCATTGTGGTGCATGTCTTCAGTTCCAGTTAAGACCAGCGGCATTAGGTGCAAAGAACATAATCTGAGGCCACTCTCAAACAAACAAAAAAACAAAAACAAAACAAAAAACAAACAAAAATGAGAAAAAATCTAAAAAATAAATAATGAACTGAAACTGGGGCTGGAGTGATAAAGTACCTTACTAGAAAGTTTGCCGAGTGTTCAAATTTCAACCCTACACGAGAACAGAACAGAACAGAAAGGAAAAGAAAAGAAAGGAAAAGAAAAGAAAGGAAAAAAAGGAAGGGAAGGGAAAGGAAAGGAGGAAAAGAAAAGAAAGGAAAAAAGGGAAGGGAAGAGAAGGGAAGGGAAGGGAAGGGAAGGAAAGGAGAAGACAAACAGAAAGAGAACGGAAGGGGAGAGGAGGGAAGGGAAGGAGAAGAGAGGGGAAAAGAGGGAATTGGAGGGGAAGAAAGGGGAAGGGAAGGGAAGAAACAATCTCATACTTGACTCTGAATTGGACCCTCCACTTGGATTAATGGGAAATTTATGAACTCCCTGCCTTAGGTCATGCTTGGGTCAAAGGTAAAATTATTTTTTGTACTCTTCTCAGATTGAATAATCATGACATATTTCTGATTAATCAAATTAAATATCTCCATTGCTGTGTAAATTGTCAAAAAAGAAAATGAATACCTTTTCGATTACTTAATGAAGAACAATGACAACAGTCTCATATTCCCATGCTTTTATTTAACACGAAGAAAAACTTGGTAAAGTACAGTTGTTCAACTAAGAATACAGACCAGCTTTGATGTTACTACCACACATGTGTAGGTCTGATGGATTCATAACACCTTAAATATTATTTGGCCCACATTTTCTTAAATGATCAAGCTAAGACCAAGTTCTTCTATCTTTACACTGTAAATTTCAATACAGTGATAGTTCTAAAGGAAAATGGGGTAAATATTTAAAGAAATTTAACCTTCATTTTATCTTCCAATAACATATTATATTCATAAATTGCTTTGGTAAATGGCAGCTTCTTGGTACAACTACTTAAAATAATATGAAAAAATTTAAAGTACTTAATATATGTTATCAACTAGGCAAAATCTTCTTACTATGTATAAAAGGGATCTAAATTGGGTGCATTCTGGAATTTTCTAACAAATTTACATTCTATGAGGGACTTCAGGCACTTTCAAAAATCTAGTTCTTTGAACATGTATAAGCTGTGAGTAAGCTCATGTTCTCTCTTTTTTTAAAAGGAAAATGGAAAGCAGTTTCCTGAGTCCCAACTGGATATTTGGTAAATGTTCATGTAAATACATTTAAAATTACTTTAGAAAATTTAAAACATATACATTAAAGAGAAATGATTAATGAATCTCTACATACCACCAATTATCAATAATCAACTATACTTAGTATAGTTTCTTTTATGCCCTCACTACTCCCTCCACTTTTAGGTTATTTGGAAACAAATCCTACATTTTACATAAATTCATCCACAAATATTTTTGCATGTGTAGCTATACATGGCACACTTTTTAGAACCTAACAACCCTACAACTATTATAACTACGAATTATTCTACTCCATTTCAATCAGGAGATCTAAATATTGTTTAATGCAATGCCCATAATGTATCATCTACTTATCAGGCACCAGAGGTTTCTCTTCAAACTTCCAATGTTAATTACATGTTGTTTGGTTAAGGAAGACCTCTAATTTATTCCATCTATTTCCTCATAAAAGTAATTGAACGACTTTACTTTTAAAGAAGAAAGACTTGGTAAAAGATACTAACAGTGTCTTGACAATCTAAGAAAAAGACTAAGACTGGTTCATCTAAAACCGAATTACCACCCCAATAATTAAATGTTATATAAATTTCTGATGTGTTCCAGCGGGTATTATAAATATCACAAGAGTTATTTTCTGCAAAATTATAGCTGTTGTTGAGAGTTTACACTACACACAGGTCAACAAACAGGTATAATGAATACTTCTTTTAATTTACAAATAGATCACACTGTCTGTCTTCTTACTGGTACTTACTCTTATATGAGTTTACCCATCACTCTTTCTTTATAAACTGACTACAAAGTAGCAATCCCACAAATTCTCAAATGCTGCTTTGGTTATACTACCCAAGTATCTGTTATAGTGTTCATTGAATACATATGAGGAATGTCTACAATAGACATATAACTCATCAAGATTATGCCTCAATAATTAAAATAATGTTTTTGTCAATGTATATTTCACTCAAGACCAACCAGCAGATGTTAATGAGGAAAGATCAATGAATAAATCCTTTCTCTGGTCTCCAAAATATTTACATCTTGTGAATATTAAGAGGAACTAATTAAGACTTCTTCTATTTTAATTGACTCAGTAGCTTTCACTTCCTCAAATAAGAGATATTTCCAAATTAAAGGACCTCAAACTGATCAGAGAATATTAATGGACATCTGGAAACTTACCTATGTAATATACTCATGATAATGCAATCCAGCCTCACATTCCAAAAATTAATTGTGTAAGTTGATAATACTATACATAAATATAACTTTAGGTCAGCTAAAAGTAAATTAGCTGTGACAGAAAGTGGGAAGAAATAAACCTTCAAAAGACAAGTTTTCCTAATCTCAAAATAACATTATAAGAAAAACTAATTAAATACCACCAATACGAGTTAATCATCACCACCATCAAATACATGAATTTGACCAAAATACATTACATACATTGTAAATATCACAATGTAGTCACCCATTTCTTTCAATAATTGATTGGAGGTAATAAAAATTAACATAAGTAAAAAGTACTATTTAATTAAACATAGAGAGTACAATAGATTTGCATGAAACATGATTAAAAGAGGCAAAGAGTGCATGCTTACATGTACAGTATACATGGGGGACTGGAAGGCATATGTACAGCCTCATGCATCTCATTTGTTTGGAGCACATTTTATAATTTTCTTATGGTATATGAGCATGTGTATGTTTTTCCTCATCAGTTAATTCTCTATTACTTTTCTGTATTTTATTTGATAATCTGGAGTTACTTTAAGTCTCTTTACTAGCACAGTAATTATATTTCTAAAGTCATATAAACAGGTAGACTAAGAGCAGAGTGAGTCTATAGTAGGCATTTTCAGAGCATAGCATTGCCCACAGGTATTCCATAGCTTCTTGTTGAATGACAGAGTAAATAGCAGCTGAAGGCTAAATCCACCATAAGGAAGAGATTTCATTTTGATGCTATCTCTTAATGGATATGGGAGGAAAACACCTGTGAGTCTAGACTCACTTCTGTCTTTGACTTAGTAGATCTATTAAAACATGTACTGTGAACCAAAAAAAAAAAGACACAACATTCTTAATCATGACTGACACTGTGTGACACCAGATCATACATTGCATCTTAATTGCAAAGTATAATGGCATAATGAAGAATTCAAGGAATAGTATGTCGATTATAATGACTAATGATTAAATGGAATAAGCCAGGCTACTTAGTACATGCCTATAATTCCAGGTACTGGCAAGGTAGAGGCAAGAGAAAGAGGAATTTGAAGATAATCTAGATAAAGTTAGTGAGACTTTATCTCAAATAAAAGAAAAGCAAGGTTGGGGGTGGGGTAATACATTGAGTGGTAAAGTATGTGCCTAGAACGTAAATTTAGTCTTCTGTATCACAAACAAGAACATAGCATTTGTCTTCCTAAGAATGCTTTGAAGTGGGGAGTCCATCAGTGTGAGTCATAAGACTCAAGAGTCAATCATTTCCTTAGATTTGTCTCCTTTTCATAAAGTTTTAGAAAACTTGTTTCTCTCATCACTCCTCAAATGAGAGGGGACTCCTACCTTTTTATCGTGTTTAGAGAAAAATACAACCTGGATTCAAAGCAGAAATATCAACTTCCAGCATTCTGAAAGGAAAGGAGAATGTGGAAGGATAGCTGCTTTTCAGGAAAGATACCAAGAAACATTATTTGTCTTAAATGTGATGACTTGAGCTTGCTTCTTACATCTTTTAGCCAACTTCTCAGTATTTCTTCTTAATAGTACTGCTGAAGAGAGGCTATCATAAATCTAATAATATATATTATTAAAATCAGAGTTCATGGATTTTCTTCTGCTGAGTTTTTTGAGAACTAGGACTTTGGAACTTTAAGGTATTTTGGAGAAATGTCAAGAAAGTATAACAATCAGAGGAAAAAAATCAATTTCATTTTTAATTGAATCAAAATCCCTGGCAGTAATTCAAAACATGGCTCCATAATTAATTTTTGTTTTGCATAGAAATTCGGAAGAACTCAGTTTGGACTCTATGCCATTCAGGAGCTCAGGTCATTTTCAGGTTAAAGCAGACACTGAATATTTTAGGTAAGGAAGTTGTGGGGAAGGCAATGAAGATAAATATTTTGTTAATACCCCATTACTATGTGGAACTGAAAGAACCCTTCTCAAGCTTTATTAACCAAGGGTAAAAGAAAGAAGTTCCACACCATAGTTAGGCTGCTTCAGAGGATGCCCTTAGAAATGTGATTATTTGACTTGCTTGAGTATTCTGTACAAACTCTACATGCTTACTTATTAAATAACACAGATGTTTCAGAAGGAGATAAAAAGCATCTGACACCTTCTTTTGGGGGGAGGGGGAGGATAACTAATGGACCATTATGACAGCAATTAAAGAGTTACCACTTGTGGCCTGTAACAACTAACTGACACTGCTGCCCTTCTTAGGTTTTTCTGTTAATTACATAAAATCTAAGTCTCTAATGAATTTCAATTAAACCAAAGTAGGGCATAAAATGGGAGGAGATGTTGGTGAAGAATGACTAGCTAAAATTGCACATTGGTTGAACATGTTATATATTATTGTCAAGGTCAAATATTTCCAATTGGATTGTGACTGATTTATCACAGTGTCTTGGCAGGCAGGCAGCCTTTGAAATCATTTTCACATTGGAAAGCCTAACCAAAAAGTGGAAAGTAACAAAAAAATGTCTAGCATCCCTAATTAAATGTGAAGGATAACAGGGTATTCATTGCAAGTAATTATTAATATTTTCCTCCTCTATAAAACTTTCAGATACAATTTTAACTTCTTGAGGGTAGAAATGTGTCTGAATTTTCTTCTTTGCACCGAGATGAACACACACTCTAGGATACAACAGCTGGGTAATGAATATTAGATGAAAAAATAGATTTAGATCTTTGGGGATGATGATCCAAGTCTGCTTCTACCAAATTGGTTAAGTAAAACAAGAGAATTTCCCCATGCATAATTTAGCTGAAAATTTAAAATTTTTCTCTTATAGGGAAAACAACCATATAATGAAATCAACGACTGACTTTAGAAAGTATATATAATATAATATTGCCTACTTCGTGCTATTTTTAAATACGGAAAAAGCCAAAAAAAGAGAGATATACAGTACTACCTGGTCCAAAGTCCATTACCCCAAAAGTCTGAACATAGTCCCACTACACTGATGAGTTTAGATACGAGGTTTGACAATGTATTGCACATAAACCCCTTTCATTTTGCTTAAGTACAATAAGTTCAATACAGGGGCTACAGATACAAGATTGAACAACACCAAGTGCTTTTCATCTCTCTTTTAACTGTGTTAACTTCTCATAAGACTTTTTATTTTTGTTAATAAGGGGGCAATTTTTACTAATGCTTTAAAAGGATCAAATAACTGCTGTTCATGTATTACCATGAAAACTGTCAAAAAGGACCTGTTGGTTGGCAGGCAGCATTGCTATTACTACAAAATCTGTATGCAAATGTAAAAATATCAGGTTAGCCAAAAGTGGGAAAGGTCAGTGTTGAAGCTTCCTTGATCAGTAAGATCCCGATTTATATACAGGGACTCAGGAAGACAAGTAGGATTACCAAGACTTGTCCTAAGTAATATTTAGGGAAAAGGAAACTTGAATGAAGGATCGCTGTGACTGCTTGACACAGCCTCCAGTGCTTGACAATTATGCACTTCCTCAACTTCTACAAGTAAAGAGCAAATGTTGATAACTTAGAAGTATGATTGGCCAGAATAAAATCTAAGGAAAGCCGACCATATGAAAACCTCATGAAATGCATCAAGTAACCAATAAGCAACCAATAAGAGGGATCGTACCATTTGCAGACCGTGTAGAGGGCTAACTAATAACATTAATAACAAATATGAATCAGCCCTATGCCTTCTGCACAAAAGACTTTGTAAATTGTCTAAAAAGATAATAAAATAAATGGAGAATGGAAGAGAGAGACAGACAGGCAGATTGAGTGACTGACCTTCAAGAATTATATAGAATAAACCAATACAATTTTCGTTGTTTCATTTTCAGCCATACTCTGTAACTTACCCTGAGCTACAGGATAAAAAACTGTTTTATGTAATTCTTTAAACAATATCTTTTACTAAAACAAAGTTTCTTCCAAACTAACCAAACCTTCTGACACTTAATCCCTGTGACTCAAGGACAGTATCAGGCAAAAAGATGTGAATTCCAACAACAGGGAACACGGATGCATTCGCTCCAGGACCAGACGTCTGCGAAAATCAGCTAAAAGGTATAAAACCTGTACAGATACAGAGAGCAGCAAGAGAAGCTTGTTCTACCCTAAAATTCATTTTCTTTAAAAAGACATGAAAAACTTTTTGTTTCCTTGTACCTGTGACCACAGCAAATGCCTGTGTCAATCCACAGGATAATGAATACAAGTTGGCCTCTTTATCAATCCAATTCTTAATGAAATATTGAAAGGGTTTCAACTAAACAGTCCCAAGTAGTTACAACCACTGAATCCACATTAACTCTGCAATACCCACTAATGTATATTTCAAGTATACTTGCAGAGTAATACATACACATTCGCTACAAGTCGTTTGTAAAAGGCTTGGCTAAGTTTACACTTATTACCAGCTGCTACATGCTGAAATGCTTTTTATAGATGCCATGAAGAAGAGTCCCTTTGTGCAAACATCAACCTTGCCATACTATGCAAAATTTGTCAACACAATGAAGGAAAAACAAGAAATATGAGCCAGCACTTCAAGAAAATCTAAGGAAAATGTAACCCCAAAGCACATTGAAGGGAGAATGTGGATGTATGTGGAAGCGTTTAGCTGAACCACTTACAGCTCAGCTTTAGTTCTCCACCTTCACTATTTTTAAAATACCTTTCCAAACAAAAAGGCCTTTTAAATGCCGATGTAAATGTAATAATAATTATATTTGTAATTATTTTATTTATAATTACCAACCAAGTATTATATTTATTACCTAGCAATGACCTCAACAATTAGTGATGCCTCTCTGAGACTCTTTGCCTCTTTCTCTGAAACTCCTTGCTCATATAAGAAAATGTTCATATTGGAGAATGAAGATCAAGGATTGGCAGTTTTAGGAATAAGGGACAGATGAGTGCGTATGTATGTATGTATGTATATATATATACACACACACACACACATATACACACAGAGAGATGTGTATATACATTTACATATGTATATATTTATAAGTACATTTCATATATTAAAGGCTTAATAATTATTTGCTCTCTAAACATCAACATATAACTAGGTTCAATATGACTGTAAACAGTAGTGGCAAAATGGCTTGATGAACATATTCTGTTTATCTTCTAAACAGCCAAAACAAGAATTCTGACCTTCTCCAACTTTATCTTTACAGATAAGGAGATATTAATAAATCTTTGGGCAAATCAGTTATTTTACGTCTTACTGTAAAATAACTTCCTATACACAGGAAGGTAGTTTGTCTTGCATTCAGCTCCTATAAATTGGAAATTTTAATATCTGACGTGGGGTAAACTATTTGCTAGATATTTTCCTCTGATTTTTAGCCTCTATTTTACTCTATTTTAGCCCTACAAAGACATACGAGAAACAAGGGACTCATTTCTGAATAAGGAAGGAGACTTGGTTAAAAACAACAGTGTAACATTTGTCTCAGAATTTAATTTTGTTTATTTTAATTTGTTTCAGAATCTGCCTGACTCCTGCATTATGCTATGTGCATATGAGTAGGTGGTGATATCTGAATACACATGGGTAGGTAGTAATATTTGTGTTATCTTGAAATTAATTGTACTGCTCAAATAGAAGTACTTAGAGCTAACATAAAATTAATGATAAAGAAACAAAATTTCAAATTATGTAAGATCAAACATAAGCTTTATATAAACATTTCAAATAAAATGCTTAGCTGTATTATGCCCTTAATCATTAAAATGAAGAAAACTAAAAAAAGGAAGTCTGAAAAGGGACATAAGCCAGACATGCTGCTGGTGAGACCCAAGTTGTACCTGCCATGCTGTTAGACAAGAAGTGCACATCAAATGCCCACAGGGCTCGATCTTGACATCTTTGTCATTCTCTGCACAGATCTTACAGAGCTGAAAGGTAGAGCCCATTTCACAATACAGTTCATATTGCTCCTGGAATATAGAGGGGGGAGTTGGCCAATGTTAATGTATTTCTCTCGTGAAGTTAATATTACATGTCACACATGATCCCATTGGCATTACAATACAATTTAAGACATGTTATAATGGATAATCACAATCCAGTCTGTAAAATCCATTTTTGAAACATCTGCACTTTTACCAACAAATCGGTCGTGGGGCTACAACTCTGGGCCTGGGCACTGTCCTTCAGCTCTTCAGCTCAAGGCAAGCTCTCTACCACTTAAGGTACAGCGCCACTTCTGGATTTTTGGTGGTTAATTGGAGTTAAGAGTCTCACAGACTTTCCTGCCTGGGCTGGCTTTAAACCATGATCCTCAGATCTCAGTCTCCTGAGTAGCTAGGATTACAGTCATGAACCACAGGTGCCTGGCAGTTTTATGAGATTTTAAATACAATCATTTAATATTTCATACAATTCTTATAAGGAAGAACTTGCTTCAACAGTTGATTCATTTAAATGGCACTAGGAATTACTTATTCCTTTCTGTATAAATGCCATATACTCAATCTAAGTTCACTGTCAAAAAAAATTCTGTCTGAAAACTAAATTTTTTGTTTCTTAGCTACCTTTAGAAAACTTAGACTGTGACACAGACAACATTTGCTCTTCTGGCTTGCTTGTCGCAATTAGCATTTCACATAATCTCCAAAGGATACAATTTTTTAAAGAAAAATATACAAGTCACAGTGAGTTTAAGTATTTCCCTCAAAATCTCAGTCAGTCTCTTGATTCTAAAATGCAGGCTCTCTCCTTAACACTCAAGAAAACTAATCATATCAGCAACTTTAAAATGGCATATTAAACTTCTCACTGAATTTACTATGTTTTTAAGATGAGAACATTTGGTGCAGTAAAATATTCAGTGCTCAAAAACAGAAAAGACATATGTCTTGTCTTAGTGAATATTACTGTAATTATACAACTTACTGAATATTACTGAAATATTTCTTACAGAATATATGTAAACATACTTTTATCCAGTTATTGTAATATTTTAGTTTTCTTTATAAGACTTTCTATTCACATATATCTATCCAATATAGATTTAGTTACTTATATGTCAAATCCAATCCTATAAGCAAGAACATTAACAGCAGATTTTTTTTTACAAATATATAATGTAATTTCTTTGAGTCTTGGAAGTAGTTATGGTTTGTAGGAAATATTTGTAGATGATTTCATATATAATATAATCAGAGATTCTGACTGATTTCAAAGTTGATATTAACAATTATATTGTTTCCAGAAAGTAACCTTACCTGTGTAACTTTTATATGATCATGGGGTGTGGGTTCACATAATCCAGTTAAATCAGGATTATAACTTCGTCCATCAGGGTAAAGATAACTGAATTTAAATATATACTTGATTACTATAAACATACAAGTTTTAATAGCATTTAAACTTATTTATAGATTTCTTCTGCATTTAAAGCAACATTTTTTCATGTAATATATTAACATCTACTTTCCATGTTATCACATAAGAAATACATAGTAAGTACTCAAACCACTAAGTAGGCACTTTCATTATAGATACTTTACTATATAGTTCTTACAAATGTTAACATTTTTAACATATTGTTTAATTGGTTTCTATTCCAAAACTGTTGCAATATAACTCATGCTTTAATTAGTAGTATTGGTGTTATTAAGTAGTTGTACAAAGAGTTTCCAATTCCATGAGTCAGGTTATGAATATAATGCTACTTGGTCAATGTCACCCCTTACATTGTTCTCCCCATTTTCCTCTCCCCTTACACACCAATATACTTCTATTTCAAATTATAATATTCTACTAGACTTCTCTATTCAAATTATTATAGTCTATTTCTAGCTATACTTTGTTCTAGTTCCCCAATCTCTTTCTTCAGACAAAGCTTCCATTCCCATAATATATACACATGGAGATAGCCCCATATATATATATATATATATATATATATATTTCATTTACAAATTTCTACAAATCAAATAACTTCAAATTCTATATTTCATTGATTTCAGTAAAATTACAAACAGAAAGTTGAATTGTCAGACAGAAGAGAAATCTGAAGAAAAATTGGCACTCTGAATACTAGGAAAGGATACAAAGAATGGCATATGATTAAAATTACTAAGAATATCTGCATATATTTACTGTGAGGGGCCAAACAGATTATCTCTGCATTTCTTTCAACATCTTTATCTTTAAAAAATGGGAGGAAAATGTGTGAATTTAAAATTTTAACCAACAACAGTATATGATAAACTGAACTCGGCTAGTAACATACGCTTCTGAATATGGTTTCATAAATTTTTAAATTTGTTTGAGCAAAAGGAGAAAGGGAAAGGAGTGAGTGTAGGGAGAGAAGGATATGAGGGAGGAACACATCTAATACTAACACAGACAATAAAAAGTAGAGCTTAAAAAAGTAAACTTTCCCTGAGGAAACAGAAGCCGATTATTTTAAAGAATTTGCTAAAAAAACAAAAACAAAAACCTGTTTTTGTTATTGTTGGTGGTCATGAGGCCTGAACTGAACTCTGGGCCTAGATGCTGTCGCTCTGCCCTTCAGCGCAAGGCTAGCCCTCTACTACTGGAGCCACAGCGCCACTTCTGGCCTTTTCTGTTTATGTGGTGCTGAGGAATCAAACCCAGGGCCTCATGCATGCAAGGCAAGCACTCTACCAGTGAGCCACCTTCCTAGCCCCCATAAACCTTTTTATAAAAAAGTTTTAAATATCAACTTTCCTCTTGAAAGGTATAAATTCATGATGTAATTCGATTTTGGAGTAAATCTGCTCTAACATAAAGTTCAATTAATTAGGTTATCATAAAAGGACAGGAGAGATGAACACTAAAATGAGGCAACAGCAAAACCAAAGAAGCCTGGAGACCCTAGTTTTGAGAGTTAAAAATCAGCCATCAGAATGTCATTGTCACTACCCACTGTCTCCGCTGCTACAAAGTCTGTATTTTCAAACTTGTGTCCATAAGCCCTCTGGCACCCATTTCCCATACTCACAAGCCTTCCCTGCTGCCATCAATCAGGGCTTGAAATAGGGGCTTGTTGTGAGGTATGGTCTGTAAGATATTGCCATCCCCTGTCACATAGCCAATCGCCCACTGTCCCAGGCGAGTGCAACTTAGCCGGAAAATGTAGCTGTGAAACGTGAGAAAAAGGATGTTCAACTGAACATGTGTTAAGCTGTTTTCTTTTTAAGCCAAAATAATAACAGCATCAGAATTCCTGACACAATCTTCTATTGTTTACCATATTTTTAACACTATAATATCCATCCAAAAATTTCTTTTCAATTGCATGTATAGGAGAAAAGCAATTGGCTTGGAAACCATCAAGTGATTAGTTACCCTCATGGTTACAGATGTTGAGTATGAAAATGCTCTGTTATGAAATGGCTACAACATAAACCATTTGAGGAAAACCAAAATGGTCTAAGAAAGTCAAATTTTAATTTGACCACCTTAGACAGAGGCAGTTTTTACTGTCAACTCAACATTATTACTTCTTAATTTAAATGTGTTCTTTAAACTTTTTTAATAATATAATAATTTGTTTTAAAATAACACATTTTCTCTCGAGCATTTGAGCATTTCATCCTATAAATGTATTTCAGAAGAGTTGAATGATACTAAGGAAAAATGTAAACTGGATGAAAGTTCATAGTTACCACCTAAATTTGAAATATCTTTCAATAAAAAGCCAAAACAGTTCAAAACATGTATCAAGTTGATTACAAATTCTGAAACAATTAATTTCCAATGGAAAGAGACATTGACTTGGCTTCAAATCATCATCATCACCATCACCATCATCATCATCATCATCATCATCATCATCATCATCATCTATATCATCATCATTTACTTATTCATTTTGTTACTTCAGCTTGGACAAGCTCTGCTATTTAATGTAGGTCAAAGTGAGTAAACTTTGGTTATATTTAAGCTGTTAGATGAGTTTAAGAAAAAAGCAAACATCGAATAAAGAAATGTATTTCAAATTGATTTAGTCATTGATGAACAAAGTGCCATACAAAAACTTTACAAGATAGAATTGAGCATATTTCAAGGACATGAGTTCCTTAAGCTGTTCTCCATTTTGAGTTTAAACTAATAAAACCTTAGCTACCTCATCAAACTACGCTTTGAGGGCTGTGAGTGGACTTCAATGATAGAATGTTATTGGTTTAGTAGTTTTGTATATTTAGCAGTGCAATATAATTTCACCCATAAAAATGAGTGTTTTAAGAAAAGAAGAATTTGTGATTTTTTTTTTCTATGAAGAACTTCATATTGGTTTAAAAAAACTGTCAAAAATGACCTTTGGAAAGATGTTTAAAAAGATTCCCCAAAGAGATCCTGAAAACATGGTATTAACTTGCCAATTATTTGCTGTATTTCATCAGATTAAGATACAATATTTCCACCTAGCAAGGCAGCTACAATGTTATGAAAATTGAAAAGAAGTCACTATAAATTATAATTTAAAGGTTGTTAGTAACTTGTTACACTAAGAAATGTATATGATACATTCAAATCAATAGTAAAATGTAGAGTTCATAAAGATCTCTGTGAATGGTTAATTTTCGTTTTTTGGGTCCGGTCGTGGGGCTGAACCCTGGGCCTAGGCGCTGTCCCTCTGCTCTTCAGCTCAAGGCTAGCGCTCTACCACTTGAGTCACAGCGCCACTTCTGGCTTTTTTCTTTTTGCTTATGTGGTGCTGAGGAATCGAACCCAGGGCCTCAGGCATGCAAGGCAAGCGCTCTACCACTGAGCCACCTTCCCAGCCCTGAATGATTAATTTTCATGAAATGAAAATGAAAATGAAAAAATACAAATACAGTTGATATTTATATGCTAAAAATCTAATAAATGATATATTTTAGTAAATAAAATATTAAATCATTCTTGTAAAATTATTCAGGTTATAATCAATGTCCTTTTCCATTTTCCTAAGCACTGTTTTAGGATGGTATTTCTAAAACTGGCTATTATAGAGAAATTCAAGTAATTCATGCAAATAACCATTATTATTTTATGAGTTATAATATGGATTTGTTTGCATGCATTTTCAATTTCATTCACACATTTTTTTCATCAGTTTCTGCTAACCTTTTTCTTGGTAGCTCTCCCTCCCAAATCAAGTGTACTTATGCTTTATTTTTAAGACCTTGCTTCCCAAAACGGAATGCTTGGAAAAATCTGCTAAATTTCTTCATATTGATAGGATGGTTTAGGATTCAAAACCATCTTTAACATTAAAAATTCAAAGTGTTTTCTTAGATTCACAAAATTATATACATATATAACAACTATGTTATATATGCATTTGTACACATTATTATATATGTATAAAAATTTGAGAATATGTATGTATAATTTGTGACTATATGCATATACATGTTTTTTCCTTGGCACTGGGAAATCAAACTTGGGGTCTCACACATGTCGGTCAAGTGTTCTGTCCTTGAGTTACACTCCTAGCCTCAAAGCAGTTTCACCACATTGCTAAGGTTCTGTTTGCTGGATCCCAAATGAAACAAAACTTAAGGAATGCATACATTCTTGGAAAAGAACCAACAGTTTCATTTACTGTGAAGCCAAAAAAAAAAAAAAAAAAGAAACACCTTCCAAGAGAAAGGACCAGTTAAACAGTCATTCTGTAAAGCCAGTATTTAGCAAAACCATTTGAATTGTTCAAGAAGTTTTTCTGAACATTTGAAAGCACATTAGAATTGTTCAAGACGTTTTACACATTATAATTTAGTACAGACTATCCATTTCAGTTTTTGCTATGCAAAAATCTGGTAAGGAGAGAACCTTGAATGAAACAAAAGGACTTTTCACAGTCCCTGCCAAAGTAGAAGCATCATATCTTCGTTGAGGGTCACAAAAACAACCATTGGACTTATTTTAGACTAAAGATTCAAATTGTTTTCTGTACTCCCTAGTTCCTTTATGTATACTACACTAATTCTTTATTTTTTTAATGGAGATTTTTCACTTTGTTAGAGAAGAATGGAAACTCCTGGCTTACATCTAAGAAGACTGTTAAAGGTCAAATATCACATTCATTACAAATCAAATAAAAATGGTCCTAAAAGAAAGAAGATTTAACAAATAAAAAAAACACTTTCATTCTTAAAATAAACTTATTTCCATTTGAAAAATCAGTATGCAGTAGACTATGCCGTTACAATTTCACTACTACACTACCCAGTGTAGCAGAGATGTTGCTGTATAAAGGCTTATAAGGTACATAACATACGTTAGATGGAATGTGGGAGAAACCCACTGAGCCATGGAAGAGATCAATTTTCTGGTCTTGAATTTCCAGTTAATGAGCTATGAATTCTAAGCCCAAGCCAAGGACTGAATGGATAGTACTCAACCTATTGGTCTCCCTCAATTTTATCTCTGAAAAAAAAAATTCTGAGGGTATAAAGGGACAGAAGGTACTCAAGAAGTCTCCAAGGACATGAAATTGATTTACATTTTAACTATGGACTTACACATGCTCATGAAATTACTAAATACATATATGTATGTTTATCTGTATTTATGCATACTCACATTTGTTTATCATAAATCCTAACTGCTTTGTCCTCAAAAATTGTCTAGTGAACATAAAACTTACCTGTTTATTTCATCTTTAAGCACAAAACTCAAGTTCTAAACATACGCAAAGAAGTTTGTACAGAAAGAATCATAATCAGTATTCAATACCCCACACCTCCAATATGAAAAGCAAAACTAGGAGGATTAATGAATCCTTAAATTCATGAATTTACATAGTAACTCAGCCCTTTTTTCTCAATGAAAAGTTGTTTCAGAGCAAGTACAACATATTGGTTAAAATTACTCAATTACCCAGCAAGCTTTGGTTTATAAGGCTTTCCTCCCCACCCACTCCAGTCCAGCCTTGATCAGTATTACCAGTGTACTTAGAAACGAAACACCAGTGCTCAAACCTCTTACCTTCCAGGTTTGGTGCTGTACTTTTGTAGCCGTGCCTTAACTTCATCATATGTGAGAAATGCCATGTAACCTGGATGTGTTACAGCTAAGAAATTCCAATTTCGCAAAATAGAACCCCAAGGCTAAAAATATAAAGAAATTGAAATTGATTACCTAGAGAATATCAACTACTAATTTCATGCCAAACCACATTTCATATAATTAGAGAAATTCTTCTGTACACTGTGAAAAGTGAACATGAATTTATGTGGCTTCACTCAAATTTTTGCATCAATGTATCAATCTCTCTTTAATTGGATCAGGTGGACTCTCAGTGTCATGACAAGAGGAAAAAGAGTCAATGAGAGAACACTTCTCTTGAGGGTGTGGCGAATCATTCCTAGGACATTTTTAAGGCTGAAGCTACATTCATTCCAAGAAATTGGCAGCACTACATCTTGTTGTGCCATATATTGAACTCAGATAATTTCTACAAAAGAAAAAAAAAAGAAAAGATGTAGCATGGTTGCCAGGCTAAAGCTGTTTAAGTAAAGGTTGTCCTAAACATGATTATTGATAAAGAGTTCCTGCTTTTGTTTGATTTGAGACTTGTTATTCATTATTGTAAAGCAAGTCTCAGATCTGCAAGGAAGAATTCTTCAAGAATTATGTCCCTTGAGATGAGAAAAACAAAGGAAAGAATGAATTTTTAGCTTTAAATATATAGAGAGATAGATAACAAGGAAAACCTTTAGGGTATTTCACCATCACACTAAAATATCTAATTGGGTTAAAATGGAACTCTGGAGAATAGAACATGAAATGTTCTTTGTACCTGGAGGGGGGCAGGATAAATACATTTTTAAATTTTACCTTCAGGTGTCACTAAAAAAAATCTAGAATAAAATGATACTTGGGGAAATATCAATACATACTGAAAAGTAACAAAACTGCTATCCTAGACATTGTTTTCTTTTCTTCTTTTTATTGCTACTCTGTCTTCAAAGGACAAGAATACAAAATATGAGATATTGAGATCAATTCCATTAAAGTCCACACATATTGAGGAAACATTTGTTCTAAAAATTCTAAATTTTATATACAGCCAATGCACCAATCAAATACAAATGAAAACTAAAAATGAAATTGGAGCTTTGAGCCAACAGTTCCAGTATTTAGCAACCAGTCCTTAGTACAAAATTCGCCGGGTCAATGATTAATTGCAAAAATATTTCTGTAATAGAATTAAGTCTGTATGCTGTTTTTCTTGTAAATGCAACCCACTCAAAATAGTCAGGAATATTTGGTATGTATTTTCTGTTTTGTCTTTCAAAAGTATCCTGGAAACTTGTGGCTTAATGGAGACAAAATAAAGTGCTTCAGAAAATAAAATTTATTTTTCTGATACACTGTTTTAGATTAAAAGACATTGTAAGCATAACACAAATTGATAGCTTTTTAAACAATGATATAAATTAATCAGAACAAAATGAGTTTTTCATTTCTCTATTTTATTAATACTCTATATTACCTGTTACTACAATATCATCTAAAATATTGCCTCCTCTCCTCCAAACCCTCAAGTTTATTGCCTATTTCTCAATGATCTATTCTTCTGTAATATGGTGTAGATGGAAGAATGGAAGCAACAGTTCCAGACAGAGAAAAGGAAAGCAAAATCTCTTCTTAGCACCTGTCTATCACAATGTCTCTCAATTATCTGGAGAAGAGAAAGGTAAATGGCGAAGTTTGCCACATGACTATAGAAAAATACACTCAAAGATTCTCCAGCATTTGCTTAAATTCTGCCAATATAAGGACATGGAACCAGGAGAAAGAAAGCTTTCTTTTTTCATTGGTTATGAAAGTCTAACTTCATCTCTTAACTCCTGATGACTCTTTCAAATTACAAGTCCTTATTGTCCCTTACTCACTTTTAGGTGACAATCCTACTAATAATTTTAAAAAGTAAAAACTGGAAAAATTAAATACCACCAGTAATTTCACAATACAGTAAAATGTCTATGTATTTACAGTATTTAACATAACTTACCATTTTAATGTAGTCTACATAAACATAAGGCATATATGTGTATGTAAATTAGGGAAATGAACATTCGATATTACATTCATGAAAATAAAACATTGAAGAAAATTAAACTATAGAATCCATTTCATCATATATTAAAGCATGTGTGTGATAATGACCAATTTACCTTCAAAATAAGCCTAGAAACCAAAACAAATGAAGAATCTCTGATGTAGAAGGAACTAACCATAGTTTTTATTTCATTTTGTTTTGTTTTGTTTGTTTAGCAACTTCTGTACATTCTAAGAAACTAGACATCTTTTGACCAGGTGAGATTTTGGTTTTATTATCAAAACGTCTTCACAGTAGCTCTACTTATAAAGATCATATTTCCTGTCTCATCCCAGTGTGCATATTATAAGGTATACAAACCTTAGTGTAGTGATGTTACTTGGCTATATTAAAGTGAAACGACTTATACTAAGCAGCAGTTTGGGATAGTACCTAACCAAAATTAAGTTGCCATAATATATTTAATAATAACTCTGAGGCATTCTAGCATTTAGGATCCATACTAAAAAGCCATCCATCATTCTTAAAATGAGCAATTAGGTTTCAGATATAAAATTACTTCTTCTTCTTCTACCTTACAAGGTAAAGAAGCAAAAACATTTATTATTTAGAACGTTATGTACCACATTAAATGAATGAAATGTTTATCAGAATTTTTTTTTTTTGGTCGTGGGGCTTGAACAGTGGGCCTGGGCATTGGCCCTCAGCTCTTCAGCTCAAGTCTAGCACTCTACTACTTGAACCACAGAGCCACTTTCAGTTTTCTGAGTGGTTTAGTGCAGATAAGAGTTTATTTACCACAGCTAAGATATGGAAACAACCCAGATGCCCTTCAGTAGATGAATGGATCAAGAAAATGTGGTATATATAGCCAATGGAATTCTATGCCTCCATCAGAAAGAATGACATTCTTAGGAAATGGAAAGACTTGGAAAAATTATATTAAGTGAAATAAGCCAGGCCCAAAGAAACATAGGTCCCATGGTTTCCCTTACTTGCAATAACTAGTATATGTCTGAGTCAAGCAGAAAAGGTCAGATAAGTTTATGTTAGGGGAATGAACCCCAAGATAAGTATTCAAATGTTTTTTGTTTTTGTTTTCCTTTCATGCAGTTGTTTCTAACATATTTATAAGATGATTTCTATATTGCTGTGTATGTTTCTCCTGCACGGTATAACCCCTGCTGTCACTGTATTTGATGTTGGTATAAAAAATTTGTGGAGGGGAAGGGAAATAACAAATCGTTTAACTAGGGATATAGGTGGACCCATTGCAACAATGAGATGTACAAGTCGTTATGTCAAAAAACGAACTTTACAACTTTGGTGGGGGGGAGGATCGGTGGGGGCAGGAGGGGAGTATAGAAAGGGATGGGAAGGGGAAACAAAGAGGAGGCAACAATGCTTGATAAGAAATGTACTCGTTATCTTGCCCATGTCATTGTAACTCCTCTATATGGTATTCTCACAATAAAAAAAAAAATTTTTGTTTAAAGAATTTCACAGACTTTCCTGCCTGGGTTGGCTTTAAACTTCACAGATCTCAGACTCCTTAATAGCTAGGATTAAAGGCATGAGCCACCAGCAGCCCACTCAGAAATGTTTTAGAAGGAAGATTTAACATTATAAAAATTATCAATATTGGGTAGCACAACATTTTTCATGAGTTCATCTTATAAAATGTAAACTGACAGCTTGTATACATCAAGGAAATAATCATGAAACTGCAGCACATTTCAAACAATGAAAGCATGCTTTTGTAATATTTTCTCTAATTTCTTATCAAATATATAAGCTAGAATTACTTTGAAATTCTAATGAAATAATATCTAGCCCTCTTCATATTGTTAGCAGAAGTTAATCTGTCTTCTATTAACGAGGTCTTTAATATAATAAAATTAAATTAAACCTATGCAGTGTTGTTTGCTTACATCAATCATTTAATCCTTTCATAGTCATCAACCAGATATAAAACATTAAAGTCATGTGCCTTGGGAAAGTAATATTAATGTTACACCCCAGCATCTCTGAAAACATACTGCAGTCAAAATAAATAATAATATAAAACTGGTTCCTAATCCATTTACCTTACATATTATATAATACTGGAATTATAACAGATTTAACAAGGATTCTTAAACTGTGACCCACAAGCAATGTACTAATTTTAGTGGCAAAAAAACCCTCTAAATACAATTTTCAAGTCTATTCAATAAGATATGCTTATTCCTATACATACAAAAGAACAAAATGCAGCACCAAGCTATTAGCTCCTAAATATTTATTTAAACATAATTATGGAGAGTGATGTAAACCAAAAACAGGAGGAAGGGAAAGAGTGACATTGTCAGAAAAAGAAATCTATTCTTTACTTATTTATATAACTGTAACCCCTTTGAACATCATCTTTACAATAACAATAATCAAAAAAATGAAGAGTAAATCTTAGATGAAAGAAGAAATGCTAAATAATACAGAAGAAAAGCTAAATAAGTTAATACTGACAAACAGTTTTGACTGAATATTACATAGGAACTGAAATCCAAATGGATGAAGAATATTTGCTGACAGAAAAATGTTTGAGTAGAACATTTTTTTTATTTTTGCTTTGATTTTTTTTATTTAAATTTTATTGTAAAGGTGATGCTCAGAGGGGTTACAGTTCCATAAATAAGGTAATGAGTATATTTCTTTTTGAACAGTATTCCCCCACTACCTCATTTTCTTCCACTTTCCTCACCCTGACCAACATAGTGTCTTGATATCACTGTTGAATTGGTGCACACTTTGTCCCACAGTCTGTGATTCCCCTTACCTCTCCCAAATCAGATAGACTTATATACAAAACAAAGGGTACAGAACTCAAAAACAGTAACAACAGGGAATAAAGCAAAGGAGAAAAAAAACTGCAAGCAGTACAATTAAAAAATGCATATAGCTACTAAGCCATTGTGATCCTCTCCTTTGTTTGCAGTGTGCAGATGTTTAGAGTGCTGTGCTGTGGAATCAGCCAAGATGCCACTCAATGGATGAATGGATCAAGAAAATGTGGTATATAGACGCAGTGGAATGACACTGTCCCATTCATAAGGAAATGGTAAGACTTGGAAAAATTATATTAGGTGATATCAGCCAGACCCAAAGAAACACAGGCTGCATGGTTTCTCTCATTTGATAACTAGAATGTCTATAAGTCTACAAATTAATCCAATGAATAGTAAAAGACAGATAATTACACGTGGACATGATTAATTAAACAACAATTTTTCAAACTGATGAAATAGAAAAATTCTATCTGAGGTTGGCTATTCTACCTTAAGTGTGTGAACTAATGAATACCATAGGCAAAAAGATGTCAACAACTCTGGCAAACACCAATCTGTGAATGCTGTGATCTATCAGTTGAAGAAGGTGTAAAACTAAAAAGAGGGTTTAATCCACAAGTTCTTTCCATAATTTCCCCCAAATCTGACAAGCAACCATCACACTCACAGGACCAGATACTCTAGACTTCTGCCAACCACTTCCTGTAAACATAGAGGAATAATCAAACAATCCCATGATTATCATTACTGCCAAGAATACAAATCATTGCAATGAGTTTGTGAATGTATGTTTGAGATATACACAGACATGCATGTACACACAGAGTAAGAAAAGAAAGAGACAGATAGATTAAGTATAAATCTTACCTGAAATAGCCTGGTAAAAATATCAAATTCAAAAACTGAAATATAATCATTGCAAGTTAAGTCAATCGTTGACTTTAGGGCCATTGCTTCCAGGCCAGAGCTAATTTGATGGACCTCATGAAGGCACTGTCTGAATACTTTCCATGGGACGATAGTTCTGTGCAGAAGAAAAACAAAATAGGTAACTGAATCAAGTGTCATAAAAGACACTTTTTCCCAATGTCCAACCTTCACCTTTTGCCTGACATGAAAAGCAGTGACACCAATTATGCATTTTTAGTCACGTTCCTCCTTTTGATTGCCAAATCTATTTCTCATATTTAGAAAATATGATCTCTAGTCTTCAAAGTAGGAAAGCACAAGACTTGTATCTTCTATTTTTCTCTACCATTGTCTCTTGGAACACAAATACTAAGCAGAAATGGAGTAAATATTCAAGCTCCACAACTGACCAAAAAAAAAACCTTTGGGATAAGATATGTGATGCTACAAGTTCAACAAAGTGCGCACACACACACACACACACACACACACAAACATCAACTAGTGTGTGTGTGTGTGTGTGTGTGTGTGTGTGTGTGTTTTAGTTGACATATACCCGGTAAGTTTGAAGGAATTCCAAAGATTTCGGTGAGAACTCATTCAGTGGAATGAGCAAATGATATGAAACATGAACAAATGATGAGACAAGCTTATAACACTATGTTGAATTTACAAGCAAGCTTAGGTCTAATGTACCATTAAAAAAGAAAACTAGAAAACTTAATGTCCCATAAAGCTTTTATGAAAAAAAAACAAAACAAAAAAAACAGGAAACCACAGAGTATAGTGAGACACCACATCAGATGTCATTTAAGAGAAACACACGTCATAACTGGGCTAAGGTTATCCAAATGATACTGTTTTAAGAGAACATGAAAATCTTTTAATATTAGAAAGAGCACAAAGTACAGCAAAATGTACATCAACAACTAAGCCAAGCTTCTACACAGTGCCCATCATAGTAACATCCAAGGGGCACACTTCCTTTCCACATTAAAGAGCCTAACACATAACACACACAAAGAAAATAAACCAGAATATTTTAAAGAAGCAAAGAACCAGTGAATGGCACACATGTTATCTTTTCTGGAAAAGTACAGCTTTGTTTTGCGTTGTGCACATGCGGTAAAATGAGGTGGTCAAATAAAAAGCTTCAATGTTTGCTTTTTGTGTATAATAAACAACATGAAACAACAGGCTACAGAGGTATTCTCAATGTTTCCATATGAAATTATCATCATCCAATATTTTAACTCATTTGAACACTCAGTGATTTTTCCTGAGAACATCATATGAAATTTACAAACTTCCAAAATTTTCCTCTAACATACCACTTCCAGGACAATTTCTAAACCAAAGAGCTGCATCTCCTCAGTTCTTCTATAATGAGACTTTATCACTACTCTTTGTGATAAACAAAGAAGGCATTCATTCATTGTAATCTTCTTTTTGGATGGTAAGAATTAAGAAGCTATGGCATTGTTTGGTTATTTTTTCCCATGGAAAATTTGTGATTAAAAAGTATGTGACTTGGCACTGGTGGCTAAAAAAGAAAAGAAAAGAAAGAACAAGAAAAAGAAAAGAATGTAACAAAAGCCCTGTATTGATGGACTTAGCAAAACATCCATGTGTAGGAGGTGAGAAGATGAGTGGGCGTGAGGAGATTCAAAGTGCAAAGACATATAAACAACAATCAAGCAATGCATTCATTAGTCCAGACCTGCTCCACTTAGAAGGTAAATGTCCCTAATAAGACTGGAAGTGGCTACAGAATTCTTTCTGGAGGTGGAAGAGGAGGGTGGGAGGAGCCTACAAAGATGCCACAAAAGCAATTCCACTCCCTCTTCCCCTAGAGATGAAACCCAAGCAGAATATGTTAATGGCAGGCTGTTTTACAAACCAGAAAGTTAGGTGTGGTAGAAATGATCTAAGGAAGAGAGGGAAGATTTTTTTTAAAAAAGTGAAATGCATAAAAAGAGTGAACTTAAGTTTCAAGACACCTCAAGAAATGAGAAATCTTTAATAGGTTCTTTTTGCTACTTAAAATTACGACTGTATGTTGAATTGCCTTTACAATAAACCTGAAACCACATAGAGCTGTCAGTCCACAAGAAACAGAATATAAGACCAATGCACAGCCAGGCCCCTGTTATAATAATATTATGATGGGATCTTTAAAGTTTGTGTAAGAGCTGCCATTACTGAAACTTACCACCAACATAGAAATCTTTGAATGGGTTTTTGAAAACTGATAGTTTTATTCATGTACTGCCATGAGAAACAAGATTATGTTAAATAAGGCTTAATGCAATTCTGTACTTAGACAATGGATCTTATTATACCAAAAATGAATGATTGAATGAAAGCATAAAATCAAGATAAATTAGTTTTCAACAGCTGTGTAAAACAGAGTACTCTTCAGAGAAAATAAGATTCATTACTCAGGAAAACATAATGTGTCAGTGGGTCAGCAACTGACAGGTCACTTAATCTTCCTGGATAAAAGCGGATATATGTAGTATATTAATTTGAAAATGCTGCAATTTTAAAACAAAAGCAAAAGAAATGAGAATTGTAGGAAGTCAAAACAGGTAAGCCATTTTCAAAAATACGTCAGTGCTTAACATGGACCATGGGAAATAGAAACATTTCACATAAATGAGGGAGGGGATAACAAATTTGGCAAGAAATGTACCTATTACCTTACTTATGTAACTGTAACCCCTCTATATATCACCTTGAGAAAAAAAATTTTAAAGAGGTTTGAATATCACCAACATATGTAGTGTTTAGAAACAAGGATATGAATGCAAAATTATATAGCACTTCAGGAAGGCAAACTAGTGACCAAGTCCAAAAATGTTCAGTTAATTTTGACCCAGAAAGTCCAGTTCTAGGAAATGTTGTGCAAGAACATTTGTGTCCAAAAAAAGAGCAATGCAAAAACTAACCCACATGATTCCTTGAGGTAATATCATTTATAATAGCAAAAAATCAAAAGCAAGTAAGTTGATGAGTAAAGATAGAACATAAAACATTTTACAACAATTAAAATTTCTCAGAAAAATATTAGTCATGTTAAGTATGCATGGCAGATTATTAGATAAAAATAGTATTTTCAAACATATAGGATTATGATTATTATATCTTTTTTTTAAATTGTGCATAAGGTCTGAAAAGATAATCAAAAATTTAAATTGGTGATACAAATTGATGAAAACTTTATTGTGGAAAAACTTTGATATTAAAAACAAATCTTTTTTTGTAACAGCTAATATATGTCTAGGATAATTACCAAACAAGCAGAAAAGGTCAAAAGGTATGTACATATGACCATATAAGATGATGCTAACCGAAATAAACCCCAAGACAGGGACACAAGAGGTTTTATCTTTCTAGCTGTTGTTTCTAATGTACTATGTGATTTTTTTTTTGTTCTTTTGTATGTTCTTCCCCAACAGTATAACCCCTGCTTCCAGTGCCATGCATCTTGTATATACATTTTCTAATTTGGGGAGCGGAAGGGAAATAACAAATGCTAAAATAAGGATACAAGTTCACCCACTGTAATAATGAGATATACAAGACACTATGTTGAAAATGAACTTTACCACTTGAGGAAGGGAGGGAGGTGTTGGGGAGAGGGAGAAGGATGGAATGGTAGAGAAAAAACAAAGGAGAGGGTAACAATGTTCCATAGGAAATGTACTCATTACCTTACTCATGTAACTGTAACTTCTCTGTACAGTATCTTTACAATTATACATATATAAATATATACATATAACTTTTTCTAACCAACAAGACAAAAGGAAAAGAAAACCAAAACAGCAACAAGAGCAACTAAAAATTACCTCATTTCTTCTTCTTGAGGTTCATCTTATAAAGTATTATTTTATATGATCATATGTATTACCTGATTCATTTTCCTATAAACCCTTTATGTATCAACTGTACAATAATAAAAATAAAAACAAAATTTAAGAAAAACATTTTTTCTGGGTTTGTTCAGTTTTAAATCTTTCTATTTTCTAGTATGCTCTTAGAGATTATAGTAATACAAGCCATTGTAAAATCTGTAAAATATATTATGTAACTACCAAATAAAGGCAAAGCACTATTTGTCTATGGTCTTATATCTAGAAAATATAAAAATTTACTGATTAAACTATGAGAAATCAGAATGAAATTGAACATATTTGCTGAATATCAATAATCATACTTCCATATATCTGCCACATAAAAGTAGAAAATAAAACTTTATTTTTACAATGCTACCAGAGAAGAATACCAAATACAAATGAAGCTACCAAAAGATGAACAAAGCCAACACACACACACACACACACACACACACACACACACACACACAGAGTCAACAATGAAAAGACATAAAGAGATTGAATACTTTAATAGATTCACAATCTCAGTGTCATGTCAATTACCCTGAAATTGATCAACTGATTTAATACAACCTTTAAGAAAAATCACAGGAGACAGTGAAGAAATAGGTGATTCTAAACTTCACAGGGAAATGTCAGGAGCCAACATTGAACAAGACAATCTTCAGTAACAACAATACTGAAAAGCTTATGGTTTACATCAGTTTAGACTGTGGCATGGACACATGAACAGAGAAATGAAACAAAACTAAAAACTGAGGAACAAATACTTCCACATATGGGAATGCAATATACATAGAACATCATTATATATGACAATACTGCTTTTACAAATGATGTTTTAGGATACGTGGTGGTAGGTGCAATGTAGACACACATGGAAGTAAATTAAAAATTTGATGAAATTCTACTCCATCCCAGAGGGATGAAATTACTAGCATAGGCTGAATCAGGTGCCTGTGGCTCCAGCCTACAACCCATCTACTTGGGAGGATCATATTTGAAGCTCATTCTAGGCAGCAAAATTTTCCAGATAAATTCTCAACATATAGCTGGCTATCGTGGCACATGCCTGCCATTCCTAGCTATGTGGAAGATTAAGAATGGAAGAGCAGTGTTCCTAGCCAGTTCTGGCAGAGAAGTCTATAAGACTCTTCTCAATGAAAGGAAGCCAGATCTGGTGGTGTGTGTCCTTACAGTCATGGCAACTACC